GCCACTGCATTCCAACTTGGGTGACAAAGCAAGACTCCCTCTCAAAATAATAATAATAATAATAATAAGTTATAGCCATAAGTCGGCTTGAACCAATTTTCCCACATGGGAACAAATCAGGGCCTAGCCTTTCCAGATCCGTTGAGTTTTTCATAAATCTCTCAATTTTTTTTAAGCTGGAAACTAACATTTAAATATATATATACTATATAACTAATAACACTATGAGGGCTGATATGCTTAGGATATTTGTCTCCTCCAAATCTCATGTTGAAATTGGAGGTGGGGCCTGGTAGTAGATGTTTGGATTATGGGGGTGGATCCTTTATGAAAGGCTAGTGCCATCCCCTTGGTGATGAGAGGGTTCATGCAAGATCTGATTGTTTAAAAATATGCAGCACCTCTTCTCTCTCTTGTTTCCAGTCTCTCACCATTTGATATGCTTGATTCCACTTCACTTTCTGCCATGATTGTAAGCTTCCTGAGGGCCTCACTAGAAGCCAAGCAAATATTAGTGCCATGCTTATACAGCCTGCAGAACTACAAGCCAGTTAATCCTATTTTCTTTATAAATTACACAGCCTCAGGTATTTCTTTATAGCAACACAAAAATGGCCTAATATAAGGGCCAAACAAAACACATTTTTAACCCTAGGCTACGATGTCTGACTTGTTGCTTAATAACAGAATTGTCAACAGGGCATTGACTTGCAAATCTGTGATGGATGGCAGCAGTCAGACAGACCATGAGCCATAGCACAGCTCTCCACCTTTCATCATTTTGTAATGAGCAGCACAGACGGAAAACAAAGGAGGAAGGGAATCAATAATACATTTTAGGGGCACCTCAATCAGGCTACATAGTAACGAACTGAATTCTGGGTTCCAAAGTAATTGGCAGCCCCAAAGAAACTAAATCCATGTCTCTGGATCCAGAGAGGTTTCATAGGTCTCAAACACTTTGCTGGGGGTGAGGAAAGTCAGAGTGAAGACATCATTACTTAGAGCCTAGTCTTTGATTTTGTAACAATTAAGATACTCCAAGAGTGAATCTTACACAAATGTGGCAGGAGGAATTATGTTTATTTCTTATACACTATTGACCGCATGCCTTTCCCAAATGATTCCTACTATCTTTGTACCCATCAAAACCTGTCCTTAGGACCTTAATTCACCACCTCCCAAGCAGTATGCACAGGCTCAGGATACTTAAATGAGTTTGCTGAAACCTTGATCCCCTCAATCCTCAGGGCTGTCTGGTTGCCACGTGGCAGGCAGCTGAAGCTCCTGAGCTCGTTGCCTTCAGACAACAAGCAGCCTAATTTTTTACCCCAATACAGCATACACATATTATTATTTTTGATATGCTGCAATGAGGACAAGATTAGGAAGTACAGCTAGCTCATGTCGGCAGGGTTCTTTAAGGATAGGTTTGCCTTGGAGGGATCCTTCACCTCTGTGTAGATGCTCTTTCCCTCCAGGGTTGCAGGACTTGCTTCCCAGCTGCCGGGTATGTTGGCAGCTGGCAGCTCTCAGCTGAGTCCCTCAATAGGATTTGCCTTCCCCTGAAGAGAGCCACTTCATTCAAGGTCACTCTCCTCCAGGAGAGCCCACACGCAATAATGATTCAATGATGGCAGATGAGAATAAAAGCCTGGCCCCCTCTTTCCTATTCTAGCCAAGTCTGAAAAGCCACCAGCTTCAGAGCTCCTACAAGTTCAGGTGAGGCCTCTTTCAGTACATTGCTGTTTAATTTCCCCTTCTGCCCAATCTTGCTTTCCTTGCTTCCTATAGTTGTTGAACCTAGGAGCGCACTCAACAATCCTCCTACATACAAATCCCCGTCTCAGAGTTGGCCTCCTGGAGCTGACCAGCGACAGCCTCTTGATTCAATCTCTCTTTCCCATCAAACTCATCCCCCCTAAAAACACACAGAAACATAACTAAGCATGGCCTACCCATCTCAGAGAAATCTCATTTCAACGTCCCTGTCCCATAGAGGTGATTAGGGTCTTAATTTCTTTAAGCCTTTCTTTCTCACATAGGTCTTGAGGTCTGTCCTGCTTTCGCTATCCTAGCCTTCTTCAGTGAGGGTTAGAGAACAAGTTTTACACAGAAGTAAAATAAAACTTGCAGTTCTAACACCCTCCTTCCATCTCAGGCAGCCACAGCTAGCAGATGTTACTGTCCAGGAGTAGATTCAGACTTGGATTGTCCATTCGATTATCCTCGCTTAGATAATAATTACAACAATAATAACTATTACTATCATCAATTGCATACTTGTGTCATAAGCTCCACATTAAAAGGGTTTTTTAAGAATCTTATCTTCAACTTTTCCAACAAGCCTAATGAGGAAAGTATTATTAACCTTTCTGTAGAGAAATAATCTAAGAGTCAAATTGCCTGAGGCCATACCATTCTGGAGCTGGAATTAAAAGCAGGACCCTTTTGTCCTTTAAGCCTGATCATGGTCCTCTGCACCATTCTCTCCATGTCCTCTATTATACCTACTCCTCAGTTCAAAGTTCACTTTGGAGGGAAAGATTCCTAAGGGCAGAAAGTTTTGTCTGTTGTCTTCTCCCTTGTGCCAAGTACCCACAATAGTGGCTGACATGCGGCAGATGTTCCACTAGTTGTTAGCCAAATGAACGAATGAGTTTTGGTGACACAGTCCTGCCAGAATGGACTCAAACACCAAAAAATGCTGAGGAATGTCTGAACTCATTATTTTTTGAGGAGGAGCCAGGGTGCTGCTACTCCATACACTGCTCTGTGCAAATTAGAAAAGGAGTCCTCCTCCTCAAGACACTTGTGAGGACATTGCTCTAGCATATGGATTTATTAGAACAAGACACTTTACTGCCATCTGCCCCAAATGATAAATGCACAGGTCTACGATGTGGATAATGCTCCTTCAGTGTGGTGCTGCTGTGCACCTGACAACGAGCACAGTCCTCTGTGGCTGCTCTGCCTAGGCTAGCCAGGCCTAGTTTACGCATTTGTCTAGCTAGACACTGGAGTCAGATTCGTCTTACTTTCTGACAGCTGTAAATTAAACACATTTGTGTTTAATTTCTTATTTAATAATCTTTTCTTAATTTTGAGATAATGACTAAACTCTCAGAAAGTTTGTTAGATGACAGTCTAGGTATTACCTAGGCTCCCGCTTCATAAGGTTGTTGCTTTCAGAAAGCTCTCTCATCACTCTTTGATGGAGAGCTATTTCGAAGAGTCATACAATTTCCTGACATTCTTCTTTGCTTGTGGAAGACAGTTTCTCTTGAGATATTACAATATCTTAAGTACTTCAAAAACGCTGTGAATGCCACTACCACTCTTCTGAATCAAGCTTTCTTTCTCATCGGTAATCTTCTCCTCTGACCTGCTTTTTACTGACCGTTTTATCCCCTTTGTCCCAGGAAGATAAAACACTGGTGTGGAAAAGGTCAAATTCAGAATTCCAAAATAATATAAATTTTTATATTTCCAGTGAAAAGAAAGGCAAATTGATAGGTAACATTCACCAATCTATCTCTGAGTTTCCTAAGGAAGAGATACTAGAAAGGTGAAGTCATGAATAGTCTTTGATGAGGGATGCCCAAATGTCAATACGTAAATTAACTGAGTATTTTATATACAGTTCTTTACAAACAAGGCCAGAAGAAAAATAAACAAACAAAATGAATGTAACAAGCTATTCTGCTGTTATAAAATGTAATAAGGCCAAGGCAGATTTCATGGGAACCAAAACTGTTTGGTCTATTATCCCAAGATAATAAAGTGAATATGACTTAGCTGTATAGACAGGTCACAGTACAGAATTACCAACTGCATTTTGATGATCAATTCAGCCCACTTGTCATGGCAACCAAATTAAATCTTAACACTGCAGGTAGACATAAGTTAGGTAGACCTGAGTTGTTTTTTTTTGTTTGAGAATCCATTTCATGTTGCTTGATCTTTGGATGCAGTATTTAACACAGTGTATAAAATTTTCTCCCCATTCATCTTCTTCCCACTGGATTGGAAATTCCTTGAGGGCAAGAAGCAATCTCTCATATTTTCACTTTCCAAATGATAATTATAATGCCTGGTATATCACGGGTTTCCAAAATGCTCTGTGGGAGCCAGTGGGTGTTTTTCCATTGGTGCAGAGAAATTAAACAGCATTCGTTATTATGAAATCTTGCTTCAAGATAGTAAAAAAAGACATGTCATTAGCAGTACCCAGAAGGCTCAAAGGACATGTTTAGAGAGTACTTTTTACCTCACAGTATTATCAATCATTGATTTCCTATAATTTATCCCGAATTTGCTGAAATTCATTCATTTCTCAGAAATCTTTGTGTATTGTCCTATTGTGTTCAATGACTCAAGCAACGAAATGCATGATCTTAGAGGGAGTCTGTGGCATTCCCAAAGCTGGGCATGAAGTGAATAAACAAAATTTTCCTAACTACTGTGCCAGAAAGATGATTAACAATGCTGTGCAGCAAGTGTCATGGTGCTACACAAATGGGGGCTCTCAGAAAGAAGCCCTACCCAGCAAAAGACTCATAAAATTCCTCTTCATCACATCTGTAATCCCAGCACTTTGGAGGCTGAGGCGGGTGGATCAGTTGAGGTTAGGAGTTCGAGACCAGACTGACCAACATGGTGAAACCCCATCTCTACTAAAAATAGAAGAATTAGCCAGGTGTGGTGGCAGGCACCTGTAATCCCAGCTTCTAAGGAGGCCGAGGCAAGAGAATAGCTTAAACCCAGGAGGTGGAGGTTGCAGTGAGCCCAGATCGCCCTACTGCACTCGAGCCTGGGCTACAAAGTGAGGCTTGTCTTAAAACAAACCAACACACAACAACAACAAAAATCCCTCTTCATATATCCCATCACATTCAACAATAATCCACTGGGGGAGGGGATTATAGACCTCACAGTAGAGAAAACGTATTCTGTGAAAAGAATGTAGTTTCCAGAATGTTCCAACACAGAACGTTTTGATCAGGAAGGCAGTAAACACCACAGCTAACATTTGAGAGAATGTACTTTGCCACACACTTTGCTATATACTTGACATGCATTTATCCTTGGAGCCACCATGGAGGAAGGTACTCTTATAGTCTCTTTTTTATAGGTGAGGAAACTGAGGGTTGTTTAACAGGTTAGTAACTTACTTAAGGTCTCAGGGAAAGAAAATAGCCAAGCCAGGCCTGAGCCCTAGTCTGTCTGCTGGAACTCTGCTCTTTAAGCAAGTGCTTAAACTAAGAAACTAAGTGTGGTAAACAATACCAAGGCTCACTAATGTATTTGAGTTCTTTTCTCCTTCTGAGCACATGGGAGTAGGACATGATCCTCCCCATTTCAGTTAGTATTCATCTGGTTTTGGCCAACAAAAATGACATAATACACTTTATTGCAGAAGTATTTAAAATTCAGAGCATGATTCTTCACTTCTCCTGACACAGCTAACCCTGAAGACCCATTTTGAGATGCCAGCATCACCCAAAGCAAGGATGATAATAGACAAGAAAGTACCTCCTAGAGGGCCAAGCCAAGGGCTGTGGGGATTGATGGACTGGGAGACTCTCCTAGAGATCTGAATGGAGTTCAGTCAAGGAATATTCTCTACCTCCAATGTAGAAAATCATCACATGCCCAGTGAGTTTTCATAATTACTCCAGATCAGCTACTGTTATGTATCTACCATTCTTTCTCTCAGAGAATGTGAACATTTATTGACATTATCCTGTCCTATTCTATAGGGAGGGTAGGGAGTGAGGGAGGGGCACATCTTTTCAGTTCATAGTGTTTCATGGGGATTTGGAGTTCTCTCTCTTGTGGGGAGCAGGGGTAAGAAGTGTATTTTGGATGTGGGGGAAGGTGAATCTTGTATTTAGTTATTAGATTATGGTAGAAATTACAAATACTCCTTAATATTTCTCTTCTCTTCTTTTTGGAATACTGAGGATTATAACTCTCTGTTTTGAAGTTAGGCATAGCCAGTTGCTTGCTTTGGCCAGTGGAATGAGAACAGAAGTGATGTGCCACTACTAAGCAGGTACAGTTAAGATCCAGTGCAATATCCTCCATACTTATTTCCACTGTCACAGCAAACCCTGAACCCTCGTGTTGAAGTAGAAATGCTGTAAAATGATAATGCTTCCATCATCCTGGGTGCCTGAATGAGCATTAATGAGCATTGTCCCTGCCACCACAAGTTAAGCATGTAGTATTAGAAAAAAATAAACTTTTGTCTTTTCAAACCCAGAGAGTTTGGGAGTTGCTTGTTACCACAGCATAACCTAGCCTATCCTGATACCACCCTAAAACTTAACTTTAAGAGAGCACCCAAATTAGAAGCTAATATCCCAGCTCTGAGTGGACTGCATAGACCAAGAGCAGTGGAAGACACTAAAAAGACATAGTAGTATTAATCCGAACACTTAGTCAAATTGATTGCCACTTGCTCCTTAGTGAAAAAGAGATGAAATAGACCCAGTAGAGTTTTTTGTAAATTGACATATATGGTAAAATATTTAAAATTCATGAAGTCACAAAAATGCTTCAGTTATCTGAAAAATTACCAGAGTTAAAGATCCCTTTGAGTATCCCCAGAGAAGACAACTAGGTAAGGAACACCTGATAGCACTGTTTCACATGGTATTTTGTTAACATCTTACATATGAATCACTAGCGTCCTTGTTAAAGATACAAATTCCTAGGCCTTACCGTTGCTAAACCCGCTGCTTAGCAAATGTGTTTAAGCAGCCTCTTTCTGTCTGTGTATATTAGATAATATCTTGACTTTTCCTAGAGTTACATTACTCCCAGCCCAGTAATGCCACAATCCCTTTAAATTGATAAATGTTTAAGATAATTAATAATTTCTTAGGAGCTTATGCCGAAGCTAATATTTAAGGGGACTTGTAATTACCTGACCTTTAAGCAGATATTCTTGGTGGACTGGCATAAGGAGGAACCTGTAATGACCAATGAAATCAATGTTTGAAATATCCCTTTGTATTATTGTCAAGAATATTAAGCACCAACCATGTGCTTATATTAACTATAATGCTAATGTTAGGTACACAGAGGTGATGGTCTCATTACTCAAGGAATTTTATAGGCACACAAATATATGAATGTAGTTGATTCTCATTAGTCATAAGAATCATATACTATAAAGTCATTCCAAATGCTGAATTAGCAAATATTGAACCATTGCTCCAAGGGGAAATATGGGGTTAAGTTCCTGTGACCTTCTAGTGACAAATTTTTTATGTCCACTGATCGATATGTAACCTTGTTTTATGTGGCATTTTGTTTAAAGATACCTTATTTAATCCATGTTGTTGATTCATTGACATCGAATATAGCACTAGCCAACAGCATTACACTTTATACCTAAATGAAGCTTACCTAATACACATATTTTCTTTTTAAGACACATCAGAGGGGGAGGACTCAAGATGGCGCTGTGAGAACAACCCAGGATTGAAGCTCTCGCTGGACGCACGGAGAGGGTGAGTCGGGGAAGCATTTCCAGACGGATCTTAGTTGCCCACAGAACAGGGAAATTCCCAGGTATAAAAGAGACGCGGGACGCCAGGCAGAGGTCTCCGCTGGTGTAGCCGGCAGCCGGTGCAGCTCTGGCCCGTGCCGGAGCGCAGAAGTGCTCCACAGTGCTCCATACAAAAGCGCACTGTTACGGGTGCCCTGTTGAACCGGCAAACTAAGACCCGAGAGGGCTGAACTTGAGACTGAACGGGTCTTGAACAGTGACCCAGCCCAGGAAATCCCAGGGACTCAGCGTTTGGGGGAACACAGTGTGACAAACAAAACGGCGATTCCAAACACTCCCGGTGAATAGGTTTTTTTTTAAAGTGCAGCTCCGCAGGGGAGGGGCGTCAGCCATTACTGAGGCAATCAGCTCCTACTGAGGTACATGCCCATTGCTGACGCAGCCTGCCGCTGCCGAGGCAACCAGGTACAACAGAGAGTCTCCCCCGCAGGGAGTAGCCCGAGGCAACAGGGCAAAGACCACAGCAGAAGGGCAGAGCCTGCAGGAAAAGGGCGAACCTCACACCAGCAGGGCGGAGCCTCGGCAGGCAAAAAGTGACTAGACTGCCTCCTAGCTGGGCAGGACAGTGAGGCGGACACTCACAAGGAAAGCCCCAACCCCCCCCCCAGACAGAGCATCTGAGGAAAAAAAAGGGGTTTTCTTACGAGTTAGGTTGCAGCAGAACTAAACATAGCAGCCTAGCAGCCCTGAATGAACAACAGAGCTCACAGCTCAGCACTTGAGCTCCTACAGACTGTCTCCTCAAGCAACTCCCTGACCCCTCTATATCCATAAAACTGACATTCGGCAGACATCATCCTGGGACAAAGATAGCAGAAAAAGAAACTGGTAGCATCCCTCGCTGTTCCGCAGCGGCTACAGGTGCACCCCAGAAAAGCAGGGCCTGGAGTGGACCTCAGCAGTCGTACAGCGAAGGGGCTAGACTGGTAGAAGGAAAACCAAGTAACAGAAATACTCCATCATCAACAATGTGGGTGTCCACTCAGAGATCCAATCAAAAAGTCAGCAACTACACAGACGACAGGTGGATAAATCCACAAAGATGGGAAGAAACCAGTGCAAAAAGGAGGAAAACACCCGAAACCAGAACACCTCACCTCCTAGAAAGGACCAAAACTCCTCACCAGCAAGGGAACAAAGCTGGACGGAGAACGACTGTGACAAAATGACGGAATTAGACTTCAGAAGGTGGATAATGAGAAACTTTTGTGAGCTAAAAGAACATGTTTTAAATCAACGCAAAGAAACTAAGAACCTTGAAATAAGATTTGAGAAAATGATAACAAGAATGGATACCTTAGAGAGGAATACGAATGAATTAAAGGAGCTGAAAAACACAATACGAGAACTTCGCGAAACATGCACAAGTTTCAATAGCCGAATTGACCAAGCAGAAGAAAGAATATCAGAAGTCGAGGATCAACTCAATGAAATAAAACGAGAAACCAAGATCAGAGAAAAAAGCGCAAAAAGGAATGAACAAAGTCTCCAAGAAATGTGGGACTATGTGAAGAGACCTAACCTACGTTTGATAGGCGTACCAGAATGTGATGAAGAGAATGAATCCAAGCTGGAAAATACTCTGCAGGACATTATCCAGGAAAATTTTCCCCACCTAGCAAGACAGGCCAACACCCTATTGCAGGAAATACAGAGAACACCACAGAGATATTCTGCAAGAAGAGCAACCCCAAGGCACATAATCGTCAGATTCAACAAGGTTGAAATAAAGGAGAAAATACTAAGGGCAGCCAGAGAGAAAGGTCGGGTCACCCACAAAGGGAAGCCCATCAGACTCACAGCAGATCTCTCGGCAGAAACTCTACAAGCCAGAAGAGAGTGGGGGCCAATATTCAACATCCTTAAAGAAAAGAACTTTCAACCCAGAATTTCATATCCAGCCAAACTGAGCTTCAGAAGTGAAGGAAAAATAAAATCCTTTGTGCACAAGCAAGTACTCAGAGATTTTGTCACCACCAGCCCTGCTTTACAAGAGCTCCTGAAAGAGGCACTACACATAGAAAGGAACAACCAGTACCAGCCACTCCAAAATCAAACTAAATGCTAAAGAGCATCAACATAATGAAGAATCTACAACAACTAATGGGCAAAACAGCCAGCTAGCATCAAAATGGCAGTGTCAAATTCACACATAACAATATTAACCCTAAATGTAAATGGACTAAATGCACCAATCAAAAGACACAGACTGGCAAATTGGATAAAAAGCCAAAACCCATCAGTGTGCTGTATCCAGGAAACCCATCTCACATGCAAGGATACACAAAGGCTCAAAATAAAGGGATGGAGGAAGATTTACCAAGCAAATGGAGAGCAAAAGAAAGCAGGAGTTGCAATTCTCATCTCTGATAAAATAGACTTTAAAGCAACAAAGATCAAAAGAGACAAAGAAGGCCATTACATAATGGTAAAAGGATCGATACAACAAGAAGAGCTAACAATCCTAAACATATATGGACCCAATACAGGAGCACCCAGATACATAAGGCAAGTTCTTAATGACTTACAAAGAGACTTACACTCCCACACAATAATAGTGGGAGACTTTAACACACCACTGTCAATATTAGACAGATCAACCAGACAGAAAGTCAACAAGGATATCCGGAGCTTGAACTCAGACCTGGAGCAAGCAAACCTGATAGACATTTACAGAACTCTCCGCCCCAAATCCACAGAATACACATTCTTCTCAGCACCACATCATACCTACTCTAAAATTGACCACATAATTGGAAGTAAAGCACTGCTCAGCAAATGCAAAACAATTGAAATCATAACAAACAGCCTCTCAGACCATAGTGCAATCAAGTTAGAACTCAGAATTCAGAAACCGACCCAGAATCGCACAGCTTCATGGAAACTGAACAACTGGCTCCTGAATGTTGACTGGATAAACAACGAAATGAAGGCAGAAATAAAGAAGTTATTTGAAACCAATGAGAACGAAGACACAACATACCAGAATCTCTGGGACACATTTAAAGCAGTCTCTAGAGGAAAGTATATAGCAATAAGTGCCCATATGAGAAGAATGGAGAGATCCAAAATTGACACCCTATCGTCAAAATTCAAAAAGCTAGAGGAGCAAGATCAAAAAAACTCAAAACCCAGCAGAAGACAAGAAATAACTAAGATCAGAGCTGAACTGAAGGAGATTGAGACACGAAAAACCCTCCAAAAAATCAATAAATCCAAGAGCTGGTTTTTTGAAAAGATCAGCAAAATAGACAGACCACTAGCCAGATTGATTAAAAAGAAAAGAGAGAACAACCAAATAGATGCAATAAAAAATGATAAAGGGGAAATCACCACAGATTCCACAGAAATTCAAACCATCATCAGAGAATATTACAAACAACTCTATGCACATCAACTAGTAAACCTGGAAGAAATGGATAAATTCCCGGACTCCTGTGTCCTCCCAAGCCTAAACCAGGAGGAAGCTGAAACTATGAATAGACCAATAACAAGGGCAGAAGTCGAGGCGGCAATTAAGAGCCTACCACACAAAAAAAGCCCAGGTCCAGACGGGTTCACAGCCGAATTCTACCAGACACACAAAGAGGAGCTGGTACCATTCCTTCTGAAACTATTCCAAATAATCCAAAAAGAAGGAATCCTACCCAAATCATTCAACAAGACCAATATCATCCTGATGCCAAAACCCGGCAGAGACCCAACAAGAAAAGAAAATTTCAGGCCAATATCCATGATGAACATAGATGCAAAAATCTTCAATAAAATATTGGCAAGCCGATTGCAACAGCAAATCAAAAAACGTATTCATCATGATCAAGTAGGATTCATCCCGGGGATGCAAAGCTGGTTCAACATACGCAAGTCTGTCAACGTAATTCACCACATAAACAGAACCAAAAACAAAAACCACATGATTATCTCAATTGATGCAGAGAAGGCATTTGACAAAATTCAACAGCGCTTTATGCTAAAAACCCTCAATAAACTCGGTATCGATGGAACGTATCTCAAAGTAATAAAAGCTATTTATGACAAACCAACAGCCAATATCATACTGAATGGGCAAAAACTGAAAGCATTCCCTTTGAAAGCCAGCACTAGACAAGGATGCCCTCTGTCACCACTCCTATTCAATATAGTACTGGAAGTTCTAGACACAGCAATTAGGCAAGAAAAAGAAATAAAGGGTATTCAAATAGGAAAGGTGGAAGCTAAATTGTCTCTATTTGCAGACGACATGATAGTATACCTAGAAGACCCCATCGCCTCCGCCCAAAAACTCCTGAAACTGATAAGCAACTTCAGCAAAGTCTCAAAATATAAAATCAATGTGCAAAAATCACAAGCCTTCCTCTACACCAATAACAGACTTAAAGAGAGCCAAATCAAGAATGAACTGCCATTCACAATTGCTAAAAAAAGAATAAAATACCTTGGAATACAACTCACAAGGAACGTAAGGGACCTCTTCAGGGAAAACTACAAACCACTGCTCAACGAAATCAGAGAGGACACAGATGGAGAAACATTCCATGTTAATGGTTAGGAAGAATTAATATCGTGAAAATGGCTATACTGCCCAAAGTAATTTACAGAATCAACGCTATCCCCATCAAGCTACCATTGACTTTCTTCACAGAACTGGAAAAAACCACCTTGAACTTCATATGGAACCAAAAGAGAGCCCGCATAGCCAAGTCAATTCTAAGCAAAAAGAACACAGCGGGGGGCATCACACTACCAGATTTCAAACTATACTATAAGGCTACAGTAATCAAAACAGCATGGTACTGGTACCAAAACAGAGATATAGATCAATGGAACAGAACAGAGGCATCAGAGGAAACACAACATAGCTACAACCATACAATCTTTGATAAACCTGACAAAAACAAGCAATGGGGAAAGGATTCCCTATTCAACAAATGGTGCTGGAAAAACTGGCTAGCCATGTGCAGAAAGCAGAAACTGGACCCCTTCCTGACCCCTTACACCAAAATTAACTCCAGATGGATTAAAGACTTAAACATAAGACCCGGCACCATAAAAACCCTAGAAGGAAATCTAGGCAAAACCATCCAGGACTTAGGAGTAGGGAAGGACTTCATGAACAAAACACCAAAAGCATTGGCAACAAAAGCCAAAATAGACAAATGGGACCTAATGAAACTCCACAGCTTCTGCACAGCAAAAGAAACAGTCTCTAGTGTGAATCGGCAACCAACAGAATGGGAAAAAATTTTTGCAGTTTACCCATCTGACAAAGAGTTGATATCCAGAA